CTAAAAATTCATAATTACGTAGATAATCACCCTGAACGTACATAATCTGCCATTCCCCCCCCCACACACACACCTTTTGAAAGATGGCCACAGTTGATGTGAACGTGACCTTGCATCCCTTATCCCTCTTTGACCTCTGAGGGCCAATCACAGCAAGGTTACAATGCCATCCTACAATCTAGCCTCTTACTTTCTACAGGTTCATAAATTTTTCGAGAGCGGCTATCTAGCTTCACTTTGTCGCAACCACTTTTATCAGCGACAGCGGACGTGATAACCTGAGGCAACAAACTGACGCGATGGAATTCCTTTTATTTATCATTAAAACCCAGCCCGAGAGGCCTAAACAAGGTTTTTTTTTTTAAGACTTGGATAAAAGGGAGGCTACTTGAGGCAACATGTTACGTCCGCTGCATAAACTACGATGCAAGAGCAATGAACTTTTATCTTTTGGAACGCACACTTTTTCTAAAGTGGTTTTCATATTTATTAGATAATTTATCAGTTTTAAAAACTTTTATTAAGTTTGCTAACGCGCTGCTTAGCAGACAGGTAATCTCAGATAGCTCAGCACCGGGTATCTTTTACGCCACTTACTAACATTACTATTTTAATCATCGGTTTACATCGGCATTTCTGATCCTTGGAAGACTAAATTTATGGCTTAAAAAAGCAGATGAATATTTATAAATTAAAAAAAAATTACTGACATTAAGATAATTTGATGAGATTAAAATAATTAACTGACTATTAAGATGAATATTTATAAATTAAACATAATTAAAATAATTTATATTTTATAAATTAAAAATAACAAATAATTTACTAATTGTTTTACAATTTAAAAACTAGTTTAATAAGTTTTAAAATATTTACCAAAAAAAACTTTAAACTGAAAGACCACACAGAGAAAAATGACAGACGTTCATCAGAATTTTGAACATTCCCTGTGATTATTTTTAAGTACGTTTAAAAATTTAATTTTTAGCACTTTGAAACTGCTTATAAGGTATTTTTCCCGCTTTCCTAGCGTGCCTTCGTGATGTAGTGGTCAGCACTCTAAGCCGTTATTTCAGAGTTCCGTGGTTCGATTTCCGGCGAAGGCGATTGCTCATTTTTCAATCTCTCTTGCTTCCAATTAACCTAATGTCTCTACATCCTAATAAAATGTGTTAATTCCTTTTATAACTGATTAGGTTAGTTAATTCATTATGGCATAGTACGAGAGGGCTGGACCATAACATAATTAATCAAGTATATTAACTTACTACTAAAGCTTAGCACGGATACTTTTCTAGCCAGCTTTTATAATCCAAAATGGCAAACTCACAGTACATATGGGAAGATTACAACGCGCAGTCAACCCATTCGAACCTAATCCAGCACGAACTACCAATGATTAGCTGTCTCATTCACTCAGACATTGTTGGGCTACATGTTATGTTAGAGTGAGATGCTTTCTACCACTTACGCTCACGAACCAAAAGCGAATCGAGCCAGTAAAAAATGATCGATTTTCTTTTGAATCGATTTGATTATGGCAAAGCACGCTGCAGCTCTCTGCATAAAGGGAGGGATGTCTTCGTGGAAGACATTCTAAGGGAAACATACTCGTATCCATGTGTAACATGGAGGAAACTATAATATGTTCATTCAGCACGCTAGTCCGTTCGCCTGGAATCGAACCCAGGTCGAACTAACAGTGTTCTGCAACTTTACAGCAGAAAAATTGTCGAAGAGGCAAATAATCATTCTTAGCAATCTTTGCAAAATTTTTAGTTCAGCGTAACACACAAAGTCCACTGATTTCTTTCATTCGAAACTTTTTCGGTGCATAAATAAACATAATAAGAAAAAATAAAATTAATTTGAACGAAACATTACTGAGTATAAAAATATTATAGCATTATATAAATTTTTACAAGTTATTGTAATTAACAGCTGTAGTTAATTTTATAGTAGTAACTTTTTATTGTAGAAGTAATTTCAATACTAATTAAAATTATATATTATCATGCGTCAGCTAACTTTTTACACATTTTTAATGAGGCATTTTAAATAATCGCTTTCCGAATTCTTAGGGTAAATTTATATTATTTGATAAAACGCCACACATTTTCAATTTAAAAAAAAAAATCACACACATTAAATATTTCACAAGTATAAGTTTTCTGGAAACTTTAACTTTTACCAAAATTATAAAACTTTTACCAAAATTCGTATTTTCTTATTGTAGATTATCATTTATCATATATTTCTTACAAATGTATCGTATATTTCATAAATCTACACATTTAAAAAGTTTGAAGACGGAATTTTGTACTAATTTACAAATTACACTGAATTCCAACCAGAACAGTTGTAGGAATGTCATTTTCGATAATACAAAACGAGGTACAAGTAAATTAAGAAGAGAAAATGCTCTGTGTACTATGACAGTGGTCTCCAAAGTGGGGTACATGTACCCCCAAAGGCACGCAAAGTGATACTTGGGTGTATGCCAAACTAGAAGGCTCGCGATCACTTGTGAGTGTACAACCGTTAGACGAAAATTTAGAAAAGGGATTTTTAAATATGTTTCCATCATTGTGTGATTTGTAATGAAGTAAATGGGGGAAAAATTAAAATCTACACATTTAAAAAGTTTGAAGACGGAATTTTGTACTAATTTACAGATCTTCCTAACATTAAACAGAATTTCAATGGGTCGTGAACCCATTTGCTGAAAACGACAAAATAGTCTTTCCAATAGCAGCTCAAGAACAGTAAATTGACCTGAGAGAAAAAACAACGATACAATCCGAACTTAAAGGAAAATCTCTTCATATTAGTGGACGAGATTGAAAATCGAATATCCAGATTTACAAGTACAGCAACGAGTGCAATCTTACCGTTTGATTCTACATACCTGTAGGAAGTAGCGTTTTCTGCAATGCTAACCTTTAAAACCAAATATAGAAATAAATTAAAGTTCGAACTGCATTAACAAAGGGCCATCAAACAAGATTTTTCCAATATTACCACGTTGCTCATATTAAATTCTAATTCAAAATGTAAAATTTGTAGTTTAATTTAAATGCATGATATTGCTTAAAAATAAATACTAAATAATCTAATTTTTGACTACACACTTACATATACATATTACATTATATTATATTACATGACGTACAACTTAATAATTATTTTCGTCTTAGGAGTGAACAATAAAAGTAGTTTGGAGATCGCTGTAACTATCACAGACTAAAAGGACTTAAACAAAGTCGATAATATCAGCCTCAGTTTCTTTTATTGATAACGAAAAGTACTGAGATATCAATAGAAATAATCTTTATTATTTCAGTTAGATGAGATAGGCGTTGGCTTTACTGGAAGGTGCTTCTCTTATTGAAAAAACATTCCTTTTAATGACCAGTTAACAATAATAATATACAGAATACGGACGTAACAGAAAACACAAGCCAGACGGTATCGTAATAGGACAATTTGAAATCTTGTATTTAAAAATTAGGCAACACAGAGATTGCAGGGAAAAAAAAAAAAAAAAAAAAAGTCTTAAAAAATTATATACTTTAAAAATCGCTAAGTTAACGAAGTTAAGCAGCTTATACTTCGTCATTTTCCAATAATAGAATTCGAACAATTAATCACGGTAAGTGGAAATTTTCTCAATAAATATCAAGTTAAAAAAAAAAAAAAAAAAAAAAAAAAAAAAAAAAAAACTTTTTATATCCCAGATCGTGGAACATACAAATCAGGATAATTAAATAAATAAATTTAATTAAAAAAACAGGTATGAGAATGGGTGACGTTTCTTCATTAAAGTACTTAAAAAGACCTACGAGTGTTTGCTTAATAGTTTATATTTTTCAGAACGAAACAGTGAAGAAAAAAAAAAAAACTCAGAATTTGAAACTTTGTACTTGGGCGGTGGACACATCAGTTTTACAATAGCGCGGGCGAGTTGATCACTATAACCTCGGAGCAAACATTCTTTTGAAGCTGTTGACTGCCATGCTAAAGAAAAACTTTACTCTTGTGGCGTTCGAGTATATTTTTGTAAGTACTGCCTTCATTCAGAGTGTTATGCATTACAACCACCTACTGCGAATATCTAAAATCACTATTTCATGCAATGTTAATTTCCGCTGCAAAACACTTTAGAAATGGACTCGGAAATGACATTCCATGCTGGGATAAATCAGATCAAATATAAAGGTATGCAATTGAGCCATGGCCTTGTATGAAATTTACTTTTGGTTGGTTTTGATATTTGGTTTATTGAGAATACAGCAAAGCACACTAGGGCTATCTGCCCTAAGGGGAAGGATTCCTTCGTGGAGGATTTTCTAAGGGAAACTGGTTCGTATACACGTTACACATGGGAAAAACCACGAAAACGCCCATGCAACCAGCCCGTTCGCGGGATTCGAACCGAATTACCAGTGTTCAGTGATTTTACCGCTTGGCCGCTAGTGGGCCGAAATTTACTTTTGGGCACATCTTTTTATTTTGGAAAAAAAAAAAAAGTGTCTTAGCTAGGGCCGGATTTACACTTGATTGGGCCCTAAGCTATTTGAGATATGGAGCCCTTTATAAGAAATAGCTAATATGAAAATCGGCACCGTTCTTAGCAAAGAGCTAAGTACAACCAAATTATATAAATGAAGTCTGTGGATTTAATTATATGTCGGCAAATCGTGAAAACTTAACGACAGAATCACAACGAAATCAGATTAGACAAAAATTTTACCTGTTATAAAAGCAATATAGTCTAAATAAATTAAAAGTATTCAAGGAATATTTATGCAGTTTAAATATACAAGTAAATTTTAGCAATATGATAAACGTAATAATCTTCGAATAATTCGCTAAAACAATAAATGTAATTTCATAAAAGGATAGTCAATATTAAAGCAATCAGAAAATGTTCGGATGAATAATGAAAAGCAGAAAATTTAGGTTAATTTAAAGAGAGGTTTTTCAAATCCAATACTCACTCTGAGCTCCAGGAGACTGCAACCACGGTAGACCAGCAGTTTGAGATCCGTACAATAGTGCTGTAACGGATAGTTTTGGTCGTTCTTTCTTGTGATGCATCATTATCTCTGGCGATTCCCTTTGCATTTACTCGATTATATACAAGCTAAAAGCTCGTCTCAGTTTCTAAATATACTTAAATTATTTCACAAATTATTTGTCTTATGAGAATGATACGTCCTTATTCCAATTTAAATATCACAATATTAAGATCAATGGATATATTCAACACAAGATTGAAGTAAACGTTGTATGAAATTAAGATTCAGGAAGACAGAGTATTACATTAAAACGTTTATACAGTATTTCTTACTGAATAAGCTAACAAGAAATAACAAAACAATAACATCTAAAAATTTTATGGGGAGTTTTACTTTTTCACCGGGTAAACACTCATCCCTAACTATATCACAGATCTAAAATAATTCATACACTTAAGTCCTTTATAAACAAAAAAAGGTCCATTGATCACAGACACTACGATCAAATGCAAACAAAAGTTATTTCCCTTTAACCGGGATTCTTATGTTTACAAAATGATGAGGTATAACTCTTACTAAAAAAATTAAACCACTCCAAATACGCGAAACGCTAACCTCCGTGTTTTCCAAAATAAACAGTTTTAGGAAGGCGCGCGAGAGAAAACTTCCTTTGAGAAAACGAAACTGAAGCGACAACCGCTTCGATCAAAATCCGAGAATTTTTCAACTCAAGTCAGTGGTATCATCTCGTCGGTTATCCATATTGTAGACCGACTGCCAACATGGCCTCACGTGAGTTCGCACAGAGGCATGATGATCGCCTTCTGACGGGCGACATTTCATCTCGCGAATGTTTTCAACAGTGCGCGAAGTAGCTTTGAAAACCGTGAGTGAGTAATAGGGTTGCAGGACACAAAAGGCGAAAAGAGCGCCAAGCAGCCAACGCGCAGCATTTTCAAGGCCGTAAATTTCAGAAGAGGAAATTACAATGTCACCGTTTCTGTTACATTAACTTGGAGGACATTGCGCAATTTCGTGTCTACGTGCCTATGGATTGTTCTAACATGTGAACGACCCGTACGCTGGGGGAAAAAAAAAAAAAAAAAAAAAGCATTCTTATGTTCCGAAAGAGGAAAATTTTGCTTTATAAAAAGAGACATTAGCGCTACTTTTCCATTAGCATTCATAGAGTGCCCCCTCCTCCACAATGCTACCTTCTACAAAAAGAAAACACACATAATGTAACAACACGATGAATCAAAATCATGGAATAGACGACAAGTATATGATCTATAATAATTATTTTATTAATCTTTCCCAAACTTAGTTCATTAGGTTGTAGGGTTTATATTTATTTTAACTAACATTTACTTTAAGTTTAAACTATCTTTCCTGTCAAGCCTTACTTTCCCCTGGAACTGCCAATGCCAGAATATGTAAATTTTAGTAGAACGCGCAAGGATTCAAATTATCAGCGGAAGTATTATGATTTAAATAGAAGGAAATGAGTTCGGTGTGATATTCTTACTGCACGAGCGCGGAGGTAGTTAGCGAGAGAATTGAAGAACCCCGCGTTGCGGCCTATGTGCTTGGCGGGAAGTAGTGGTAATCGTTCCAGTGAGCTTCAAGTCTGCTGAATTAGCAGCGGTATTGTAAAACGCGGTGAGTTAGTTATTTTAGAGAGCCTCGTAGTTAGAATCTTGTCTTTACTTTCTTTTCAGGTTATTATTTTTATTTGACTGCCAAGTTGGCACAGTCTGTGAGCGTCAAGAGCACGCAATTGTAATTTATTACGTTGAATAAAAAGGGACTTAAACCCTTCACAAGGCTCTATCTTTTTATACAAGTTTTCACAGTCACCTCTTGGTTGCGTGCAAGTTGGAGGCGCGCAACGTTATATTGGCGCCCGAACACTTATCGAACTGAAATGGCCGAAAACTGGATGGAAGCCGCTGGACAACACCAAGAAATGACAACGTCAGTTAGAAGGATTTGGATACCTGGTCCAGACTTTGAGAGCGTCAATCAAGCCAAACGTCTATTTCGACGGAAAAAAATTCGGTGTCCGGTATTTTAGAAGGTCTAGAAAACCACTTTCATTCAGCTCTACCCTGTGCCTGAAAGACAAAAAGTTTGCCATCGCCACATCAGCACTAAGAGGACAGGCCGCGCTATGGTGGAAAAATATAGGCAAATTTTTTATTAGGGGAATTTGGAAGCCCGATATATATTTGAAAATTTCAAAAAATCGTTAGTAAAGGCCTTCCCCATAGTGAAAGATCGCGCACGGCTGGAAGCCGAACTATATAGTTTCTATCAACCTGATACAGCACAATTGACGGACTTTATTTTACGAAAAGTCAAGCTAACGGATATGCTGTATGGAAAGAAACCCGATGCGGAGATAATTGAAATAATATTACCAAGATTGTTACCTGCTGTTCAAGACTACTTCGAAATTAGAAACCCAAGCACATTGCAGGAGCTCTTCGAATTGGCGGTGAAGTTTCAAAATCGCAGAATAGCGGAAAAAGCGAGAGGGGAAACATATTCTCAAAGTACCCGAAGGCAATCTTCAAATGAGGAAACCAGAAATGGAAATCGCTCTTATGGGGGAAAGAAGCTATCAAGCTAACGCATCGAAACTCGAAGGTCAAGGCCCAAAAAGAAAATTTGAAAAAAGCATCCGCGTACCCAGAAGACACAGATTGAAAGGAAAGCTTTAAACGAGTAGAGGGGCCTGTGAAAGGGAGGGTCCAGACCCCGGAAGTTTTAAAAAAACCCTCAAATAGACATTTAAAATACCGTCATCGTAAAAAACTCACAGCTACCAATTATACAAGTCCTGGTTGGCGATGTACCAGTAGAAGCCCTCATCGATACAGGAGCAGAAGGAAATTTTATGAGTGAAAATTTCTTCAAAAAGAATTTTTATAGGATACGATTATTTAAAACCAGAAATACGGAAATTATAGCGGCGCAAGGAAAAACATGTCACTGCATCGGGAAATTATCATTAAACTTACAGGTAAAAGAGGAAAATCTCAAAGTATTAATTTTTGTGGTGAAAGACCTGCAACACTCTCTTATTTTAGGTATGGACTTTTTAAGGGCCGCGAGGGCCAAATTAAATTTTCAAGATAGTTCCGTGGTGTTGGAGATGGACCAGAGGGTGGTGGAACCTGTGGAGACACTGCAATTGGACCTTAGCCATCTGAATGACCATGAAAGTAAAGCAATACAGCAAGTGGTGAGTAATTTTTCTCATTTGTTTTCAGAAAAACCAGGAAACTGCCAGATAGTAACTCACAAGATTCAATTAAATGCCGAAAAACCTTGTAGGACTAAACCGTATCGCTATGATAAACAAAAAGACCTAATCATCGAAGAACATATTCAGGAGATGTTAAAGAATAAAATAATAACGCCCATAAATAGTGAGTACGCGAGTCCAGTCGTACTATGTAGGAAAAAGAACGAGTTTCCTCCTTCCGATAAAAGGGCTTGGAGGTTTGCTATTGATTACAGAAAACTAAATAGTATTACTAAATTTCCAGTTTACCCTTTGCCGGTTATAGACGAGATCATTAGACAGATCAAATCGACAAGATATATGTCTACTTTGGACTTAACGTCTGGCTACTATCAAATAGCTATGAGACCCGAAGATATACATAAAACCGCGTTTATAACAAAATCGGGCACTTATGCATTTTTACGCATGCCTTTTGGGTTGTGTGGGGCCCCATCAACATTCCAGAGAGCTATGGACATTGTTCTAAAGCCTGTCCTAGGAAAATCAACTTTAATTTATCTAGATGATATAATTATAACGAGTAGTACGTTGGAACAACACATTAATGATCTAGAACAAGTTTTTAAATTATTAAAAGAGGCCGGTCTTACAATTAACGCCTCAAAATGCAAGTTCGCAACTAAAGAACTTAAATATCTCGGTTATAAAATTTCGCAAAAGGGTATAGAAACGCAAGATTCAAAAATAAAAGCTATTAAGAATTTCCCACCGCCCAACACCGCCAAGAAACTTTCGTCTTTCCTTGGATTATGTTCTTACTATCGATCTTTCATAAAAGATTTCGCTAATATTGTTGAACCACTCTTAGTAATCAAAAGAAAAAAGAGTAAATTTACGTGGACAGCGGAAGCTAACACAGCTTTTGAAAGATTAAAAGAAGCGCTTATTAATGCCCCTGTTTTAAAATTCCCTGAGGGGGACGAAAACCTGGAAATTGCAGCAGATGCGTCAGACTATGCGGTGGGTGCGGTTCTTATGCAAAATAACCATCCGCTGGCATTTTTTAGTAAAACATTGAATCAGACACAAAGGAATTATACAGCTACAGAAAGAGAAACATTAGCCGTATTAATGGCTGTACACACAAATTTCGAGTTTATTTCGGCAAATCGCCAGTAACAGTCTTTTCGGATCATGCGGCTGTTGGTAGACTTTACTCGGGAAAAAACCTAACGCCCAGGTTAATAAGATGGGCTTTAAAACTCCAAGAATATAATATCACAATAAAATATAAACCGGGTAAGGAAAACAATGTAGCTGACGCACTTTCTCGTATAAAACTGGACGATGAAGGAAATGAACTTAAATGCGCTGTGTTGACTTCAAAAATTTTAGATTCTAGAGATACGGTTATTACTGAACTGAAAGCTGATCCTGAATTTGGAAATATCTATGCTTATTTGAAAGACCCCGAAAGCTTTGAGCATACAGATATCGATGCGATAAGAAATAGAGCAAAAAACTATGAAATAATAGATAATTTATTATTCTATACGAAAACAACAAACGAAAATCTTGAGTATAAGCCAGTCATCCCAGCCTCGCTTCGATTAAGCATTTTGAAGGAGTTGCACGAAGAAAAAACAGCGGGCCACCTAGGGGTCAGAAAGACTATAAAAAGGGTACGCGAGGCGGTATATTTCCCGCAATTATACAAAATAGTAACGGCGTATGTCAGGTCCTGCAATCAATGTCAGTTAATAAATGATATTAATTACAGCCCGGCCGGGTACTTAAATAGCATTCGCGCTACATTTCCGAATGAAATTTTAGGCATAGATCTTCCTTGGTCCCTTTTCCCCAGAGCGAGTTAAATAAAAATCGTTTTCTTTTAGTAATAGTAGATCATTTTTCAAAATGGATAGAAATTGTTCCACTTAAACGCGCGTCAGCCAAAACAGTCGCAGATGCATTCTTACACAGATACATTTTAAAATACGGTGCACCGATAAAAGTCATTAGCGATAACGGAAAACAATTCATTAGTCAAATATTTGAAAACATATGCAATGGACTTGGCATACGCCATATCAAAATGGTTCCGTATAGACCACAGGCTAACATAGCAGAAAGAGTTAATAAAAACATTAGTAAAAATAATTCGCAGTTACGTGAGCACACATCACAAGCGCTGGGATGGCTACATAAATGAATTAGCTTATGCTTTAAGAACGGCACATCATGATACATACTACGACGGGAAAAACTCCAGCAGAATTATTTTTAGGCCGAAAGTTAATTACGCCTTTAGATAAATTATTCTTTGTGCAACAAAGAGAGCAGGAAGTTTAAACAAAAAGATGTGCAAAAGCTAATTGATCAGGCGCTTAAAAGCTCGGATACGGCAAGAAATAGGCAGAAACTTATATTACGATAGAAAACGCCGTGAAGCAGATTTTAAAGTTGGGGATAAAGTATTGAAGCGGAAATTTTCTTTATCAAGTGCCCCAGACAATTTTATGGCAAAGCTAGCTCCAAAGTTTGAAGGCCCCTATGTAATTCAGGAAATCAAAGGAGTAGTCTTATATCTTAAGAACGAGAGAGGGGAAATCTG